GACAAAAATGACCTTCCGGCCCCAAAAGTCCCAAATCAGATTTACTAGAAATTTATGAGACTGATTATTTTTTATAGTGTTTTTATGGTTTGAAGGTTTGGAGAGCCAATGGGGGACACTCATGGCTGGATCCAGTGCTTCTCCAAGAAATACCCGGGAGTCCCCTATTTTTTCAATCTGAGGACATCAGGGACCACGTGGATCAGACCCCTCGGAGGAAGCGTTTGCATCCCCATTTTCATCAGAAATAAAGTATATACAAAAATAAATCCAATTTCAACTTGAAACTTATGATCTTACACTAGAACTCTTGAGAGTCCCAATTTACGATTTATGAAACTCTTAAATTTAGACTTTCAAGTCTCAAATAATAACTTGTGAATGTTTTCACCTAGGATTTTCAAATTTTTAACTTGAGAATTTAAAATATTCCAATTTGAGATTTTAAGAAATTTTCAATTCAGGACTGTAGTATTTGTACTCTTTTTTAGGACTTTGTAGTTTTTCCTTTGTGCATTAGATAAAAATCTTTGAAACAACTACCTATCCCCCGCCATCTTGACGAGTTATCACTAATCTTTCATCTCATCAGCAGTAAACGTATTTATTTCTCCAGGAAAGCGTAGAATCATCTCCATCAGTGAGGAAGTGGAAATCACCGGGATGGAATAGCCCCACGATGATATCGTCTTCAGAGGAAGAAAATGATGACGAAATGAGGGACCAATGGAAAATCAATTCCACTCAATCAAATTGCGCGAGGAAAGACTGGAAATCGGGACTACCTCGACATCTGTGGAATTCTGATGGAAATTGGAAAGGGAGTGGTGGAGCCTACGAGGTGCATTCCAAGGATAATGTCCTGGAGAATTCCTTGGAAGATTCTGGAACTGATGGTGAGGATAAAGCGAATGATTCGACTGAAAATCATCGACACCCACCAAAACCCCAGGAAAATCAGAGAATAAAGGAAATAGTTTTGGACTCCATTTTGAAATGATTGTGTCACTCAAAATGGCAGCGACTTCTCGTGGAATAAAGCAGGAGTGACAAGATGAGTTATCAAGTGTTGAAAAATAATCTACAACCCTGAAGACAGGTGTAAATCCAATGTTTCTACGATTCTTGATAATTTAATATTAGAAATGAGACAGTCTTCATCTATTCCACAACCTCACGTCCATACTTCTCATCGTAGAATATATTATTTCAAGCATGTCCTATAAATATTTCTGCCACGTACCTCTCCACATGCGGGCACAACAAGTTGATGATAAAAGTGAATAGATTTTTTGTCACTGCCACCTAGTTCAGTCATTCATATGATATTTTTTCCCCTTCCTTTATTAACATACGGAGTGGGTCGACAGTGCATTTTTTATTTTGTTACTTTAGTGCTTTACCTCTGATTAGAAAAATGACTTTAGTTTAAAAAATCTGGTACTGCATACAAAAAATATCATGAAGAAACATAAAAGAATAAAATGGAGGATCGAGTTTTCCCATGCAATTGAATTGAAATTGAAGATATAAAAAAAACTAGAAATCGCTGAATCTGACTTCTTGTCTTCGACATCGAGTATCTGAAAACTCGACTAGAATAGCCCATTCATTGCATTGTGAATCCTGTCGGATAATAACACCAGTGATGTATCATGAATTATCTCGGCCGTGCAACAAGTACAGCTTCAGGTGCTATACAAATACTATTTTTTCCTTCAATTTTTATCTTCTTGTTGATCTTGACATTTTAACCTTCAATTTTGACCTACAATACATTACGTTCAGTATTTTTCTCTTTATGTTTTAACCTTGAACTTTTCTCATTAACCCTCAATTTATAACCACTAACTTTTCTATCATGTGGAGCTTTAACTTTTAACCTTCAATTTTGACCTACACTACTTTACGTTGAATATTTTTCTCTTTATGTTTTAACCCTGAACTTTTCTCGTTAACCCTCAATTTTTACTCACAAACTTTTTTATCATGTGGAGCTTTAACTTTTTTAATCTTCAATTTTGACCTACAATATTTTAGTATTTTTCTCCTTATGTTTGAACCTTGAACTTTTCTCGTTAACCCTCAATTTTTACCCACAGGCTTTTCTATCATGTGGAGCTTTAACTTTTAACCTTCAATTTTGACCTACACTACTGTACGTTAAGTATTTTTCTCTTTATGTTTTAACCTTGAACTTTTCTCGTTAACCCTCAATTTTTACTCACAAACTTTTCTATCATGTGGAGCTTCAACTTTTAACCTTCAATTTTGACCTACAATATCTTACGTTTAATATTCTTCTCCTGATGTTTTAACCCTCAACTTTTCTCGGTAACCCTCTATTTTTACCCACAAGCTTTTCCATCATGTGGAGCTTTAACTTTTGACCCATAATACATCATCTTTAGTATTCTCACTCTTCTATTTGACCTTCAACTTATTTGTTTTGTTGACCCTCAATTTTGACCCACAACACCCCATCACATTACTCTCACCCTTCCCTTTGACCCACAGTAATATCTTTCTCCACTCAAAATTACAAAAAAAAAAAAAATGATAATCCCCAATTAAGACAAATACAATCCTCCCATTCAGAGCCAGAATATAATGGTCATGTTTCCGCGTATAAAAATAGTTAAATCCAACTCCTACTTGTCTCTACCTCTGAAAATCCACCTAGAATACCCCATTCATTGCATTGTGAATCCTGTCGGATAATAACACCAGTGACGTATCATGAATTACCTTGGCCGTGCAAGAAGTACAGCTAAAGGTGGGGTAGAAATGTAAAGCGCTACAGGTGCAACGGTGCGCAGCGCTGACTTGGCCACAAGTGCGCTCAACCAAGCAACTAGGGGAGAACAAGCGGGTTTCTCATGTATTCAACCAACACTGTTACATTTAGCGGGTTTCAAGTCATGTGAATCCCATGGAAATACCTCCAGGGGGGGAGG